GCTACTGCAGGACAAAGAAGGCCTGTCCAATCAGCTCCGTGTGCAAACAGAGGTGAGGCTGCAATGAAACTGACACGCATTATTTAAATATCAGACACACTGAGGACCCTTGGTGAGCACAACAAAAATGTAAGTAATATGGTTTGTAATTCTTAAAGCTTTTTTTCTTTTTAATGACAAAGTTCTTTACAATACGAAGGGAGAAGACAGTTCAACTTGTGTTTTCAGTTGTAAAAGGAGCTTTTATCAAATTTGTGCGCTAGGTGAACCGTGAGCTAAAGAAGCTGCTGGTGGCGTCGGTGGGTGACGACCTTCAGTACCACTTTGAGCGCCTGTCACGGGAGAAAAATCAGCTGATTTTGGAGAACGAGGCTCTGGGCAGGAGTCTGGCACACACTGCAGAGCAACTAGAGCGAATGAGTATCCAGTGTGACGTTTGGAGGAGCAAGTTCCTGGCCAGCAGGTAATGGACACTATAATTCAGTGGAAGATAAATTAAAAAATGTATGTGTGTGTGTGTGTGTGTGTGTGTATGTATGTATGTATGTATGTATGTATGTATATATATATATATATATATATAATCTGTATTTTGCTGAATAAACTTGAATTTGTGTTGACTCCTCAGAGTCATGGCAGAGGAACTAACGAATGCCAGAGCAGCTCTGCAGAGACAGACCAGAGAGGCACAAGGAGCAATTCAGGACCTGCTGTTGGAGAGAGAGGAGTTCTCCAGGGATATGATGCTCACCCACAGGTAAGATTGTGACTCACATGTAGGAATTAAATAAACTGGAGTGTCTATTATAAGAACTCTAAACTTAAAGCATACTGGAACTCACTGCCACTGATGTTGGCGTGAATGATGGCAGTATGTGTTGACGTTACCTGTTTTTGTGTTTTCAGATCTCTGGAGCAGCTCCTGGTGTCTCTGCAGTGGGGCAGACAACAGACGTACTATCCCATCTCACAACCCCTAAGCACGGGAGAGCTGGCGGTGGCCAATCACAAGCTAGCAGACGCCATCAACGCCCACCTGCTGGGTAACAGCGGCGGCAGCAGCACCAATGCTGCAAAAAGCAGCAGCGCAGCAGCTGAGCAGCTCTGCAGCACACCGGCTGAGAAGATGGCAGAGAAGGTGAAGGTTTTACGTGTTTGTTTATGATAAATATCATATTTAATTTCTCACATTTGTAAGAAAATCCAGAAACTCACAGATGTCACTCACTTTCTGTCTCAGGTGCTGAAGAGTTTAGATCCCATTTCCTGCTCCGAAAACAAGGCTGAGTCTCCACTCAGTGTTTCCACCCCCTCAAACTTCCTCAATAGTAAGAAGAGCATTGGCAGGTTTCACCCTTACACCCGCTACGAGAACATTACGTTTAACTGCTGTGAGCGCTGTACAGGAGACATCCTGGTGCTGTAGAGGTCACAGAGATTACCACAAACATCGTTGGAGCTTATTTCAAAGGACTGAGTGTAGTCTGAGGGTTACTGGAGCTTTGTGTTTAGTTGGAACAGCAGCAGACAGTTGCTGCTCTCCTGGTTGTGGTTTTACCCTGACTGTTATTTTTACATTTCAGATGATGGTCTGAAATATATGGCTCTGTTTATTTTGTTACTTTTATTTGCTCTTTAACTGAATTCAGGAATCGTAACGCAATGATTAGACATTTCACTGGGATGTGACATCAAGGTGAGTCCGTGTTATGCGTTGAGCAGTGATGCAAACATGCACACTGGAAGGGATTCACAGCAGCGTGATGATCGGTGACCGTAGTCAGTGGCGATGGACAGAACCCAAGATCAGTTTTTCTCGACTTCCAGGCCAGCGACTAAAGTGACTACCTGTAAGAATGATTGACTTATTATCTGAAAGTATATGCATTTGGAGGTTACCTAGGCAACTGGAGCAGAGAATATATTTATTTTAAAAAAAGAAATGTGGAGATTAGTTGTTTCAAGCCAAACAGCTGGCACGGCTGCGATACCTTCTACAGAAGTTCTTGTGTAGATGAGTTAGTGAAACAACTTGATCAGCTGTTGCTGTCTTATTGTATGTTGTGACACAACACTTACCTACTTTATTGCACCCAGGTGTAACCATTGGATATGCTTGCATCTGTCCATTGCCAACCACTTTGGTTTGCAGAAATTCAGCTAACTCTTTAAAGTTTGTGCTTTTCTTTCTTCTGATCAGCTGCAGTGTTTTGCACCATCCTCATATTTATCACCGCACTGCATTTATGTAGTAAGAGAAATTATTGCCTTATTACTGAATGCAATTCTGAAGTAACTCGTCTATACAAGGCATTTTTAGAAGGTTTTAATTGCCACATTTTGACTCTCAAAATGTTCAAAAACATATTTTTCTTAATGTGGCACTAACACTCCTTCGGAGCCTCCAGTCTGTAGTGTGTTTGAGGGTGTGCTGAGTTTTATTTGCATATTCCAGCTGTAAGTTTGATCCTGAGACTTGAAAGTATCTTGTGTAAATACCCTCCAGTGAGCTGCTTCCACTGTGACTGTATATAAAGTGAATCAGGGTCCCTCCTATACTGCAGGAGCCACACTTCCTCTGTATAATGGTGCTACCTTATTTAGGAAAACACTGTATTAATATATTTTGTATATTTCATCATGTAAATGCATTAATATACATTCAGTGTTATGGAAGTGGAAAGATGGTACTACAAGAGCAAAAATGACCTTGACTCTTTTTTTTCTCTTCATTTAATCATGTCGTTTTTGTTTCGTCTATTATTATTTAAAAAGAAATGTATAAGGGCTGTATTTTTGCTTCAAAACACATTACAATAAAATAACTGGTAATCGATTGAAAATATGTAATTAAAACTGAGCTGTTTCATCATCTTTGCAGTAATAGTGATGGTTTCATCTGCAGTGAATGCACAACATGCAAATATCTGTACATCCTTTGTTTTTCTAAAATAAAGACCAAAGTAGTTTCTACTTTTGCATTGTTGTCATTAAAGCAGCATTTATTCACTTTCAATTTACATTTACAAAATAGCAAAAGTTATTTTTCTCACTCCTCATGCCACCACATCCTGTTCCTGCCTCCACTTTTTCTGGCTTCTATGTCACTCTTTAATGATGTCCGTACTTTGGTTCCAGCTGGTGTGTTTTCTCTGTCTCTTCCAGTGAACCCGGACTCTCTGTGCTCTTTGTTTTTAAATGTGTTTATATTTCTTTTCTCTCCTGACCTCTGTGGCCTGTCGCCATCATCTCTGGCTCTGTGTCTGGCAGTCTGCATCTGTTGTTGGTGGAAGCCGTCATGCTTCCTTTTAGGCACAAACTGTAACGCCTCATTCCATCTCCCTGTATCCTTGAAAGAGAGCATAATGCGGATCATCTGATCCAGAGTCAGATTTTTGGCTCCCATCTCCCAGTGGAGGAACTCATCGAGGGGTAAACGGGCTGTGGCCAGCTTCAGACGCTTTGCATTGGCCAGTGATAAGCCTTTCTGGATCGAGCGGTCCACTAGAGCTCCGATGATATAAACCTTTGAGTGGTCAAAGGTGCGGAGGACGTTGGGCGAGTCTGCAGTGAGGTACACGAGCTGTTCGCGGGGGAACAGGTCAACGTGCTGCCGCTCAGAGGTGGAGATGAGTAGGCGCTCCCAAGTCTCTGCACCGTACCGTTGGAGCAGCTCCTTCTTGTAGAGTCCATCTGGCTGCAGGTTGCAGAAGTGGAGATGGTAGGGCTCAGTGGCACGCCGGTTCAGCCCTTCAACATCCATCAGCTGGGACACCGTGTTTTCGATTTCCCGTCTGGACATGTGCGACTCATAGCTCATGTCAAACACCAGTGGCTGACCGAACACCATGGACTGAGCGGACTTCCACGCCAGCAGCTTGTCCAGAGAACGGTCCCAAAATTGAAGGAAGAGTGTGTTTTTCAACCTGGGTCCCCCCTCGCGCTCCCCTTCCTCTTCACCGCTCTCCAGTTCTCTTCTCTCCATCAAAGATGCTTCTCTCTTGGCTGCCTTCTGCTGCTGCTTCTCCTTACGGGCCTTTTTGTGACGCTCCCTGATAGCCAGGTACTTCAGGTACTTCTTCCTGGAAGACTTGGTGGTGAGCTTCGCCAGTGTCTCCACCTCCTCATTAGTCATCTCTTCAGGTACAAGCTTTCCAGCTTGCTGCCACATTGCAACCAGATCCCGCATTGCCTCCAGAGAAGACCCGTCCTTTGAATCATCTCCTGGCTCTTTCAGGTTCTCATCATCATCACTTTCCTCTGCTTCATCTTGAACCTGCTTCTCATCAAATGCAGCCTGGGATCTCATCACAGACTTCCACCTGTCCAGATCTAGAGCCTCTGTTTCCTGGGTTTTACCTGCTTTCGTCTGTGCATCATCTTTCCCCGCTGGGCTGATAGCACTGAGGAGGCGGATGGACACCGCGATGGACGCTCTGTGCCTGCTGGCCCTGCTGTTGCTGGTATTAAAACTGCACACTTGCCTCCCGAAAGCGCAGAATGGCACAGAATGAGCGCATTTCCAGAAAACAGCACAGCCTCTGGGAGTGAAGAGCCGCAGCAACATCGCAACAAATGAAACGAAACAAGAGCTGCTTAGAAAAAACCAGGAGAGCCAGACTGTTTTTACAGAAGCGCTTCTCCCAGACTCCCGCTGTTATTCAAGTGTTACAAGTAACGGCAACATCTCACTCAGAGTCCAGAACGCTCTCAGAGGTGTGCTCACATGTGTTGACGGCCAGGCTTCTCAAACACTAGGGAAGAAGGTCACGGTGTCACACTATAATGTGACGTAGAGGAAACAACGAGGTGGCACAGCATCGATTGTCTTTGTTGAGAAGAGAACACGAGCCGTTTTAGCCAGCTAAATCTATATAATATATTAAATGGTAATATGATATAATAAATTATAAACCACAGCTTATTTAAATTATTTCCACAGTGTCTCTAATTAAAGTTAAGGCGGATATTTGATGGTGTCGCACATGACGCAATGATGACGCACTTCCCTCCCGGAAGTAAAACAAACGTACAGGGGGAGACGTTAGCTCGTTAGCCTCAAAATGAGTTTGTTTTTGCCCAAATTAACGTGCAAAAAAGATATCGACGAAGTCATTAAAGGGGTGGCAGAAAAAGTCGTGGTTTTACGGTTCGGCAGGGACGATGACTCGGTGTGTCTGCAGCTCGACGAGATAGTAAGCTGAAACGGTGACATGAATGTAAATAATGACTGCTCACTCTCTACTTTAGCTCATGTGTCTCCTTTCTTTCTGTTGTAGCTCTCTAAAACGGCCCACGACTTGAGTAACATGGCGTCCATTTACATCGTCGATGTTGATAAAGCTCCCATTTACACGAGATACTTCGACATAAGCTACATCCCCTCCACTGTCTTCTTCTTCAACGGACAGCACATGAAGGTCGATTATGGGTGAGTGGACCTAGGTCTCAGAATGACATTAACCTAAAATCACTATAAGAAGACATTAGTTTGAAGCAGTTGAATAGCTTGAACCAGGGAAGTGACCCGAGTGATTATCGAGGGCCACTGAGCTACCCCTCAGTTATATTTTGCTTGCCAGACTTTCTTGAGTTTTTTTTGGTTTTGTTTTGTTAAACAAACGCTTAAAAGATAACTTAGCAAAGACGTAATCTAAAACACACACATTGTGTCTTTAGGCAGCAAAAACACCTTATGTGTCCCTGCTTATTTAATTGAATCTATGATATGTGCAAAAGATAACAGACATTAATTGGCACTTTTCACCTACAAGGTGATTCACAAATAGCTATTAGCTGAAAACATAGCATTTGTGATCATGGTGTGCAGTGTTCCCTTAAAATACATATGAAAAAACTGTAGGAAGTCAAGTTACACAGACTGGTGCGTAATAAGCCACCAAATGAGGCAGAAACCAGAGATTTTTTGATGGTAAACTAGTTTTGAAGTACAGAGAGAGAGCTGTGCAGGAAGTGTGATTTTTATCATGGTGGAAGAAAAACTGCCAAAGTAAGAGGAACTGCATGACAATGTTTATTAAACAGAAGTGTAGTTTTTATCTTCTTTGCTGCTGGTTCAATGAATTTTGAATAATGAATCAATATCACATTATTCAAATTAAAAGAGATTTGAATCAGGAAATCTGTTTTTTTTTTTTAACCCACCCCTAAATCCAAGTATACCTGGATAGAGAGAAAAAAAACATGGAAAATTATCAGTCATGAATTGCCCCCCCCCAAAGCCCAGACCTTAGCATTATTTAAGCACTGTGGGGTCATCTTAGATATGTAGATAGATAGCCATTTACGTGCATATGCAGTGAGATTGGACCCCTTCTGACTGTACATACAAATCCCATACTTCACATTGGGAAGACATGTCGAGAGAGGTAGGATGGAAACAATGAATATGCAATATATGAGGGAACATGAGGAAAAAGAACTCCACCCAGACTGAGCTCCTACAGGACGACAGTTTGAGAACAGAAAAAAACACCTCAGCACAGAGAGCACATGAGTCTTCACACCACCATATAACATAAAGGACGTGCATTGGAGCCGCTTGGAGGGGGGAGGAGGGTGATTGTATATCTGTGTCTGATTACGTGTGTCTGTGTGCATGTGTGTATCCTGTATCAACTGAAAAGAGAGCGTCCTTTCACCCAGTTCTAAGCAAAAGTCAGCAGTTCTCCAGCCGCCGCAGTTGGCCTTGAAGGATGTGGCCAGAGGGTCAAATCACAGTCCTGTTATCAGGGGGAGTTGTTCCAGCCAGCTTTCGGCCTTGAAGCCTTCTAAGCTGACGACCGGGTAGCTGAATAAGATGATGGTTGTTTGGTTTAAGGTTAGAGCGACCAGGCTGCATTTGATTTCGCAGGTGATCTAATGTCCATCACTGGTCCCCAGGTCTATCCAGTTCTCTTTGCAGAGCTGTGAGCTTCTCCAAGATCTTATCCATATTTCGTTCAATAAGCACGGTCTGAGTACTCACGGCTCTGCCCATCGCATCGATCTTAACAGACAACAGAACATTCATTCCTGAAGGCTGTTTACAGATGTTATATAAAAGCTTGCCTAAGAGAGTTCAGGTTGTGTTGAAGAATAAAGGTGGTCATACCAAATATTGACTTTCAAACTCATTCGAATTTTACAAACTCTGATGCTCTATTTCTATTTATTTTGACACGTTTCATTAAAGTGTTGTATTTCCTTTCCTAAGTTTAAAGAAACAAGGGATTTCAGACTTTTTTCAAATTCATTTTGATGGCATGACTTTCAACTTAAGAATAATCAATGTCAATTTTCTGGATACATATCAACACATACCAAAAGTATAAGCTACTGCTGATGCGCAAAGAGTCAGAATAAGGCAAACAGTTGTTAATAATTGTTTGTCTTTCAGCTCTCCAGATCACACCAAGTTCGTTGGCAGCTTCAAAACCAAGCAAGATTTCATGGACCTGATTGAAGTGATCTACAGAGGAGCCATGCGGGGGAAAATGATTGTCCAGAGTCCCATAGATCCTCAAAATATTCCCAAATATGATCTCCTCTACCACGGGATTTAGAATCAGTGACTTTATTCATTATGTGATGGGCAAGATGCTCTGCAGAGTAGCACTGATGGCTGCTGAATGAGTAACGAGAGACATTCAGACTTTGAACCACAAAGTAACTGTTTGAGGAATACTAAAGTGCCTCCGATTTAAAGACTGTTGAACATTTATTCTTTTTTTGTTGTTGTTCTTGTTGTAGAGATCAAATTACCGACAGTGTTTTTGCCTTTACTATTTCTACTCCTGATACTTTAAAGGTTCTTCTAATTCACTTAGACAGGGAGTGTGACAGTAAGGAAGATTGCGGGTTGGTAAAAACGGATGTCAACAGAAGTGTTTTGCAAATATTTGATGATATAGGAAATGCAAACCTAAGGGACGTAAAGAGTTTGACTGCAGGGTAGTCTCTACCAGTTTTTAACAGTACTATGTTGGAGGCTGGAAAAACTGAAATGATTTCAAATTTTACCTGTGTTAAGTAATGGCAGGTGCGTACTCTGTAGTGGGATTTGTCAAATGTTTCATAGTTTATTTTGTTAATACTAAAAAAAATTTTTATCAGTGAAAAATACAATTTTGGTGTTTTTTTTTGTTTTTTTTCTGCCTTCTTCACACGATTGATAGGCGTGAGTTTTGATGCACTGTGTTAGCGTTTCCTGTGGTAAACCGATGTATATCAGCAGCGAGATGCCACATTTATTCATTGTGCATGCTCTGCTGTTATAATAAAATTTCAACCATCCTTTTTCTCGGCGTTCTCTCAGCTCTACAGATGTTAGCAGCACAAGGGCTCAGCCGTCCTGTTGGACAGGTGTCTGTCTGTGTTGAGTTTGCATTTTCTACCTGTTTAGAACAAGTTTCTTAGGATCACTGGTGTTAATGTGAGGGTAAGGTAATTAAATTTGATCTTCTGATGACAGCGGTGGACTGTGGTATAGAAGCTTGTTTCTGCCACTGAAACAAACATGATTGATTGGCAGAGATAAGTTGAAATTTTCATCTCAAATTGTCAACTTAATTTGAAATTTTACATTATTTATTTCAATTTTGAGTTCAAGTTTCTCAACAAGGTGAGTTAGTAAGTTGAACATTTTAGATGATTATTTAGAAAGTTTAAACTTATGTGTGGCAAAAATGTATTATTTACTTTTCTAAAGTTTTGTTTGTTCCAGTGGCACAAAAATAACTTCCACAGAGCAGTGCGCATACGTCTAAAATCCCCCATAGGTGGATAATAGAAGTAGGTTGAGATCTATTGACCTTATTAGTCCTCCTAGGACCTGGTGTCCACATATGTGGACATAACACTTTGGGTCCTCTAGACCAAAATACTAAATTTTGCTCTACAAGGGCCTGATATTCACTGACGAGGACTTTATACTGCTACTGTTCTATTGAAATGTAAAACAAATATCCTCATATGTGCATCTCATTTTTTGTCAGAAACAAAAATCAGGTAAAAAAAAAAAATCTGGCAATTCTTTGTTTTTAAACTTCTCAGGTCCCAATCAGCCCAAATATCAAAGAGAAATTAAAAATGCAGGCCATGAAAGAGTTCGAGTCTTAGGAGGTTAAGGTGGATTTTTACTGTCAGCTCCTGAACTCATGTGCTAAATGTGTATATAAATCAAATACCACAATAGATTTTGTACTTTCATGTGATATGTTTATATCACATTAAATATATCAGATTAATGATAATAATGACAAGAAAAAGCGAGAAAGAGGGCTGTAATACTTTTATTGCGAAAGACACGAACACCGGAAGTGTTTCTTTTTGTGCCGGAAGTCTTACAGTAACTCCGCGATGGCAGCGACCTTGTGTCCAACGTGGTGTTTGTAGAATTTTATATTATTCACACACCTAAAATCCTCGTATATGTACCACACGGAATGACTGTTTGGTGTTTGTAGGGTCCATTTCAACGCTAACATCATGCTTTCCCTCATTAAAGCTGCTGCCGGCGGGCTGACCGGAATCTGTCAAACCAGCAGTCACCTACAAGGTAATACAAGCTAGCTAATGTTAACCTCATCATAACGTTAACCTCCAGGTAAAGGTGGAAACGGGACAGTTTGATTAGGTTACCGACATTCACTACTAAGTAGACGAGACTGCAGCTAAACTCATGTGTAAACCTACTTTCACATACCCACAGTCAGCCCATAAAGAAAGGCAGTGTATGAAAACAGGATCCTGGCCACGGTTATCAACTAGACGGGCAACCAGCTTTGCCGGGGGGGGGTATTTGGCTCAAGTCACCAAGCTGTGCCATTATGAAATTAAATCCAGTAAACACAACAATTAAAAATAAAGAGTGAGTTCATTCGTATATCACAGTGCAGTAATGCATCGCTGTTATACGCTAAAACTCGTTACATTTATATTTATAAGAGGACTGCAAGAGTCAGTACTGTGAGATTTAGTGAACCTGGACACTGGGCCACCTTTACCAGCTATACAACAAATTAAAGCATACACAAGTTACTTTAAACCACACCATACACACAATTACATCAATCCATGGATGTGTGTAAGTAGGCTCGTAGAGAAGCAGTCACAAGACTACAGAGAGAAATCAGGAGAGATGTTCTCTCTGGTGCCGATGTGGATCAGTGAGCTCACCACAAACTAGTACAGTGACTGTAAGGGCACGGTGTCTTCCAACACATTTTCACTTGTTTTGCAGTTTTTGAGTGAGGTCCTGCCTTAAAACTGGGCAACTGGGCCACTCACACATACATACTACAGGACTTGGTCAGCTGTGGAAACCTTGCTCTTGCACTAAGTTTTTGAGCTGATGGTAAGGAGATGAGGTTTGGGGCTCTGAGTTTATTGAATCAGCAGAGCTTTGGCAATTTTTCACTCGGCATGCGCCTTAGCACTTTGCAGTGCCGCTTTGGTCAACCGCTTTGTGACAAACACGGTTCCCGCAATTTTATTACCAAAATTGTTGCAGCGGTGGCATCTTATTTCAGCACTACCCTCAAAGTCAGCTGACTTTGAGGGTAGTGCTTAAAATAGCTGAAATCAAATATTAATACTAGTGCTGTCAGTGCGCTAGGACCGTGCAGCCCCACGCACGGGGCGATCTGCGTTAACTCACTAACGAAGATTTGCCGCATTAATGCAATCATGGCGTTAACGCCATTTTAACGAGTTTAACGCTGACAGCAGTAATTCATACTTTTGTCCAAGCTGATGATTGACCTCATCAGTCATGAGTAGTACTTCCCAAGTCTAACCTATATAGGTCTGCTCCAAAGTCACAGTTCTCCTCAGTGAGCTTGGTTTGCTGCAGGAGCACTAAACTACTGTTATTTAACTTAAGCTTGGCTATCGGCAATGTGGGGTTAAAGTTTTTCATGACCAAACTGTTTGACTGACTTAAATTCACATATGATTGAGGAAGTGTATCAGCAGAATTCAGCTGAAGGGGTACAGTGAGCTTTTTGGACAGGACCTGGACCCCCAAGGTCCTTAACGCTGAGGCTGATTGAAGTGATTAGACATTTGGCTACTGAAGCAATTCTATGACAGAAATGCCGTATTTCTTTTATTCAACAGGATATGATAATTACATTATGCCAAACAAGAAACCTGCAGTTAAAAATAAGCTGCACATGTACAAAGAGCAGCTGACTTCCTGTCAAAGCTGGACACACAATAAATAGATTTTCCACACAGGACATGACAACATCAGTTTCAGATGAAGACAAGTTCACCGCAGACTTGCTTCAAGCATTTTTTCGTAAATATAACAGCCCACACAAGTAAGACTTGTTTTGTTTCTGAAAATCACAAAATTTCTCTTGCACAGTTGTCTCACGTGTGGTTTACTCCACAGGTCCTTTGCACAGCTACTTGAAAGTCCTCTCTGCAGGGTTGAAGACATATGAAATCCCTCCAGACTACAGTGGTAATTATTCATCTTCTTTTCACTTATTTGTGTCTGGCTGGCTAATTTTTATGGCTTTACAGTGCTGGTCCTGAGTCATGCTTCATTCTCATTAAACAACCCCAACCATGACTTAAATCACAGCATGAAGCTTTCAAAAGTAACCCCAACTCTCAACCTGCGGGCCTTTATATGCTGACTTCTCCGCCTATTAAGAAAACATGAAATATCTTTATTGTTTCAAAAATCATGCAGAGGGATATGCCAGATGTGTATGAGTCAGTAGTTATGATTCATGTGGATAGGGCTGTTCGATATAACGATTTATATATCGGATGACGATATAAAAACATCTATCGTTTCATTTTACACTATTGTTTGTTTCGTGGTGTCACAAAATAAACTGTTTACGTCAATATTTTTTCATGGTTTTGATGGTCACTGTAGTGGCTATATTAATTTGTTAAAGTTCTCTCTTTCTCTTATATTTAATATAACCACACTACAGACGGACAAGCGCCTGTTTTTATGCGTTGTCGTTAGCAACAACAACTGTAAAACCACCGCATGTCCGCTTGTTTATTTTCCACATAAACCTTTCACAATAAAGCTCAAGATCTTGTTGAGACTTTTTAAAATAAACTGAATCACGTGAAATAGGATGCAGAGTATTTACAGATGAGAAGCAAAAAAGAGCCGTCAGGTGTTAAAAAATAAACCTTAGACTCAAATGTTAGAACAGGCTTTTCCCCGCAGCACGCCGTGTAATAAATACTCACAAAGAAAACGGCGGCCGTTACAACTTATGTCTAAAAATGTATAGTTTCATGCATCGGTTAAAACACTGGACTCCAGCTACATGAGGCGCAGCTGGAAACACTTCACGCTGGTCGAGCTGCCCGAGATTCACAGAATTTACAGAAAATGTTACATTTTTGTGATTTATATCGTTATTGGGACGATAGATGTCTTATATCGGGATATGAGATTTTGGTCATATCGTACAGCCCTACATGTGAAAATGAAACTGACCTGGATTTGTTTTTAAAAAAGAAAAGGAAATTGCTGTTTGTAGAAGAGGTCTGGTTGTGCTGACCTGTAAGCATGCTCCCTCTTGGTTGGCACAGAGGTGCCACACGGACCATTTTGCCCAGTGCTCGGCCCTGTTATCTCTAATAATGTCCCATGCATTTTCCTCAGTTATGCACAGTTTCAAAATTGAAAAGGTGAAACCAAAAACACGTTCATCTCACTGTAGATTTGGAAGGGTCACCAATCAGACTGCACTGCGATGTAAACATGAACATTGGGAAGACATCTATAGTTTTCCTACAAACATTGCTGACGTAAATGTGGCTGTAGCAGGGTTGTACAAATCTTTAGGGTTCGTGTTTCTTCTAGATGTGTCATGGCAACACGATTCACACTTTGCATGCGTCAATTCACTCCTTTCTGTTGTGAAAAGGTCTCCTCTGATCCACAACACCCGTGGAGGAAATTGTGCCGGAGGTGCAGTTTTCACCATGAGTGTTGCGTGGACTATTAGTATAGCAGTTAGAGTTCCAATCCCAACCCTTCTCCACATAGCAACCTTTTTATTTGCATCCTGCGCCCTCAGTTCTGGTGTTCAGTAGCAGGTAAGTATGTAAATATGTGACGTGTTCCTTTGTGCCTGTTTTTATCCTCTACAGATGTGGTGCTGCCAGACAAGCCCAAGCTGAAGTTTTTGAACAAGGTGCCGAACTTAAAAAAGGCCAAGAAAGAGGCAAAGAAGCTGTGGGATATCCAGGGTCCAGCTAAATCTGCAAACACCTTCACCACGGGACAGTACGCTATTGTGGTG